TAAATTCGATTTGCAGTGTGCTGTCTCTTTCAAATACTCTTACCAATCTCAGCAGGGAGTGGTAAAGTAAGGAAGATTTTATTGTTAGCGCTAAAAATATAAATTTGAACATTCAAGTAGCAAACTGCCATAAGTTACTGCTGTCTATTTTCAAACTGTTTATGGATGAAAAATCATACATATAAGAAATGAAAGAAGTCCAGGGAACAGTTAATCAAAAACTGTTTAAAAAGCGAATCTTCTCGAAGGACTAAAAAATTGCATTTACCAAAATGGTCGTCTTTTAAGTGACATATTTCGTACATAAACAGCCTAAAATTAACTTTGTACTAAAATTTTTTATTTTAAAATGTATTTTCCGCAGCGCAATTTGTATAAGTAATTAAAAATTAGTCTACTTAAACAAAAGATACAATATATTTATAAGAATCCATTAATGGTTCTATTTAAATCAAGAATAATAATTATATAAGTATTTCAGTTTCTCTTTTATAATTCAATATATTCTATATCTAATATTATGCATTTTTTATTAAAAAATAAGGCAAGTAGGTATAAAGACGCGACCATTCTTATTTTATTTATAAGGTAGTGTTTTAAAGTTTTTTTTTCGTTTTTTTTTCATAATATCACCGAAACGACTTCAGTCATTTTGATGAAATTTACCATTTTCGGTCGCTGGCGCAGCAACTCGGCATGGAAATATTTGAAAAACTTTTTCCCATATTTATTTAAACATACCCATATACAAGTTTGGTTGAACTCGACGTGAAGATGATAGAAATATATACGCCCAGTTGAAGAGTGCGTACACAAACAGACGAACTGGGCGACTGGGCAATAAATCTCAGCTGCTAACAAGTGGCTGACATATTCAGGTAATTTTAATTTATTATCGGCACCTTTTATTAATCATTCATATTACAATTGCGAAAGACGGATATTTTGTTTACTAATATCATTACAACAATTAACTGAAGATCACTCTGAAGCTTGTTTAAAAAGTTGAACCGTTTCCGTGAGAGTTTTCCCCAGTTTTACACAAAATTTTAAGTTGCATTGTTGTTTCAGAAAATCGCATTTCAATAATCATCGTTAACACTTAAACACGTTGCACTCAAATGACAATATGACGAAAACTAAATGAGATCTCAGCAATTCAAGAACATGTGGTTACATAGGGAGTTATGCGCAATGCTAACCCCATATCACTAAATATTATTATTTTATTTATATTATTTATTTTCTGAACAGACCTTGCATTACCGAGAGTAAGCTAATTATAATTCAAGTTTCTAAGAATAAACTTAATAAAACGCCAACATTTCATATATTGGAAGTATTGGATTCCGTTAGGGATCCTTTAATAATTTTAAAAATTAGGGAAGTCGATTGAATATAAAATAATAAATAGGTAAATAACCAAATATTACAAAGAATGCAACTTGATATTCGCGAATACGAATACGAAAGCTAAAACTAACAAACAACTAAAAATTAACAAATGGAATATAGCGTGTAATTTAATAATATAAAAATATTTCAGGAGGTTCAATCACTTAAAGAAAAATTTTTGTAAACGACATAAATACAATACAAAATACATAGTGTTACAATTTCTAAAAAGTACTTATGCAAAAATTTCCTTAGGTTTAGCAGCGGCTTTGGAAAAATAAATACTTACGAAATACCATATAAATATAATAAACTTATAAATATCAACAGAAATATGCCTAAAAACTTATGGAAAGTAGTAAAAAACATTTCCAGTCTTGAAAATCGCAAAGAACCCAAAGTGTTATTAACTAATAATAATGTCATCTGTAATACTCCTGATAGTATTGCAGAAGAATTTAATAATTTTTTTACTAGTGTTGGAGAATCTTTTGCCAACAATATTAAAAAACCTCATACACCCGCACCGCGCACTGAAATAAATCAGAATTTTTTTTTCTGCCTCCTGTACATCAAAAGGAAAAACTAACAATTATCGATTCACTAAAAAATAAAATATCACCAGATATTGATAATATAAAGACAGAAGTTTACAAGGAAACATCTGAAATTTTATCAAAGCCAATATGTCATATTATAAATAGAATCTTTATAACCAGTAAAGTTCCACAACAATTTAAAATATCAGTTGTTACTCCTATATATAAAGAGGGTAATGTAAAGTGTGTAAATAATTATAGGCCAATCTCAGTTATATCAACGTTAGCGAAAATATTCGAAAAAGTTTTAAAAATGCGAATTGTAAAATTTTTTGATGAAAACAACATTATCTCAGAGAAACAGTTTGGATTTAGAGAGGGTGTATCAACTAATGATGCTATTACAAAATTAGTAGAAGAAATTACAAAGTGTTTAGAAAAAAGTAAGCCAATATTATGCGTATTCTTAGATCTTGCTAAAGTTTTCGACACTGTTAGTCACACTCAGATGCTTGAAGTACTAGAGAACGCAGGAATACGGGGTACGCCAAATGAACTATTTAGAGATTACTTGTCAAACAGACGGCAAGTTGAAAAAATTAATAATATGTATAGTACAGAAAAAATTGTTAATTACGGCCTACCCCAGGGGACTGTGCTGGGACCAATTTTGTTTACATTATATATTAACAATATCCTTACTTCTTTTACATCCGGCCAAATATTTAGTTATGCAGATGACACTGTTATTTTATATAATGACGAAACATGGAATATTTTAAATAATAAAATAGACCTCTCAATGATTTTTAATTGGTTTAGCCACAAATTGTTAACGGTAAACTACGAAAAAACTTTTTTATGCCATTTTCCAACAATATAAAATATCTACCTAAATATCACTCTTTGTTACTGAAAGATAATATAATACTAAATTCTAAAAGTGATTTTAAATACTTGAGAGTCACTATTGATTCTCATTTATGATGGAATGTTCATGCAAGTAACATAACCAAAGTACTAAGGCAACTTTTGTATCGTTTTAAATACCTAAAAAATATTTTAGATTTATCAGACTTAACTAGACTATATTATGCATTAGTCCAGTCAAGACTACAATATGCAATACTGAGCTGGGGTAGTGCTGCATATTGTCACCAATAAAAAGCTAATTTACCTATCTGAGACACTATTCCTAGAAACTAGAATACTCAATATTAGACAATTGTATATGCACCAGATTATTCTCTTTATATACAGGAACAAAACGTTTGAAAAATTCAGTCATTGTTATTGTACAAGGTATAAAGAAAACAATAATGCAAAAATTGACCTTTCACAAAGAAATATTAGTCTACGCTGTCATACTCACCATTCACAAAAAATCTTTAATAGTTTGCCACAAATGTATAAAATTTATTTAGAAAAAATAAACTCATTAAACATGATAAAAAATATTTTTATAAAATACATAATTACATTAGGTAGAACAGAAACTAGAAATCTAATTGAAATTCTTAACTAAATAGCCTTCTTTCCTGACACTGTACACGTAGTCCATTCAATATATAAATTTTCTTTTTTAGGTTTAGTCACTTTTTTTTCTTAGTTTGCATGTTCTTAGATATTAATTTGAGATTACTGTTATTTCACTTTATTACACATACACAACCCTGTTTTGGGTTTAATGGAAAATTGTAATCTCTCTCGTTTATTTAGACGCTCTTCCTACAATGTATTGTAAATTGTAATTGTATTAGTACTTGTAGTCAAAAATAAACTATTATTATTATTATTATTATTACCATTTAACTATAAAATATACTTATCATATTTAAATCAATCGAGAGTAACTCTGACATTACAATTTTTATTTGATTGGATATGTATTGCTGCAAAAAAGTTGCAACTAATTAAATAGAAAAAAATGTTACAAATAAATAATTAAGAAGAGTGTACTAAAATTACTAATTTCACAGAAAAAAAACTTTTAATTTTGATAATGACATTGTATTTAAAATCGAATTTATGAAGCAAGATTCTCATAGATATTTTCTCTGCAATGAGTAGTGTTCCAGTTATTATTAAAATTATTCCATTCTATGGTAGGTATCTCATCTGTTTTAGAATTAATAAATAATATTTCAAAAATAGCTCGATTTTCAAATAAAAATGGAAGAGACCACCAATTCCGAATCAAATGTTCTTATCGAGTGTCAAAAATACCCACTTACATCAAAATTCTTTCTGAATTTTTATGTGGCAGCTTCTTATATTGGTTCGCATAATCATATAAAAGAGATTTTTGAATAATTATATTATTCAAAAATTTAATATCCTGTAAGGTAAACTGATTCTAAAACAGATGGGTACGAAATTATATATCTTGTCTATTCGGCTCAACAAACATGGAAGAAGTTAGACTAAAAATGTCTTAATTTCATTTAAACAAACGGTAAAAAGCATTTTCGGTGTATGACATTTTCATGTTTTTTATCAAAATACGAGCAAAATTTGTTTAAAAAGAAAAATAAATGTTATTTTTATGATGAAATGTCTTTTTTATGAATTTTTATTTTATGCTTATATATTCCTTTGCGCAACAAAATGCGTAAATGCAAATTTCAATTTTGTTGTAAATAATTTCCACTTGCATATACAAATACTAATATTCGGAACATCCCTACTTATAATTTATTTTGAAAATTGTTTATTAATTAAATTTACTTTAACACGATTACAAAAAATGGTTAATATCGACAAATTTGATTCAAAGTACTAAGAAAAAACCGAAAAAATAAAATAACACCCTGCGTCTAAAAAACGAAATACGGATGGTCTCATATTGACAGGAGCTTTTTTTATTATTTTTGGAAGAAAAATCTCCATTCGAGTGAAGGAATACAGTTTTTGAAATAAGAATAATTAAACAGTGAGTGACTTTAGGATTCATTACTTGAACATGCGCATTTTGTTGCCCACTGAAACGCAAGCCTATCGCAATTACTCACTTTTCATGCGTAGAGTGTACGTCTTTTTCATACTATATAACAGCAATTTTCCGAAATTCATAGTTAGTTACATCCTCCGATTGTAATTTGCGGTCTCGTTATACTTTTCAATATTGGGCCGGTTCATTATTTATTTGACGTTTAGGGAGGATTCATCGATTTCCCATTCGATTGTTTTTCCTTCAGTGAACAAATATAAATAGGGTAAGTTTCTGGTTATATTGCTTTTTAGATTTGCGCTTCGCTTTTTTTATGTACATTACATAAGGAGTTATTTAACTAACTTGTAGTTAGTACATGGATTTATACATCCTAAAATATGTTTAGATATTGTAAAACATCAGCCAATAGAAAAGTACGTTATAAGAAAAAGATTGAATTTAAATTTCTAGTATTGTTGATACGCACTTACACTAATTTTTAAACTTAAATTAATTGTTTACATCTTTTTACTTTTTCATGTGAAACAATTTATTTATTTTTTAGATTTATACATTTACATATCATTTGTGAAATGTTACTTAAGAGGCATCGTGTAAACTGGTTTTGACAGTAGGTACTATTTTTCATAATTTTTAATACCTGCATCTATTGACTGTATTTACACGTTTTATAACGGGTGTTTTTTTAACACAAAACTTTCAAATACACGCAAAAAAATGTCTTGCTTCAAATGTACATTTGATTTTAAGACATCGCACGTTTATATATACGCAAGAAAATATTTTGTTCTTTCAAGAAAATTATTTATTTAAGTATTTAAATACTTTAATTTCTACCCAGAAATATAATTCCTTACTTTAAAAATAGGCAGCATTTAAAATAAATATTTGATACTTACCGTTAAACGAATTCTATTCTTAATTTTATGATCTACATTGGTTTTATAGAAACATGTTTTGTATTGTACATTAATGTATCGTTTGTTTAATACAAAACTAAATAGTTTTGTTCAAATGATTGTATAATACTTATTTTAAGAATATATTTAGATATAAATATTTCTCAGTAATAAAAAATATTTTGTTTCAATCAATTGAAACTCACATCTAGTACAACAGCTATAAGTAAGTTTAACCAACCAGACATAGGTCGGTTTGTGACTTATTGATTGTCCTCATCACTATGTTATTAAAAAGATCCAGCTGCTTTAGTGTCGTTACTCACAAGGAAATGTGTATACACAGAGCGTAAGTGCTGGCTCCATCGATCGTGCTACTTCTCACCTACGCCATTCTGTGACCTACAATTTTCTTTCAAGAAAACATAAGTTTGATTATAATATGCTACATTTGTATTGAATAATTCCTACATTATAATACTAAATTTTAGATATATAAATATATTTTAAAGAACTGGTAGTTTTGAAACAAATATGTTTGCAGTTTATGATGAACTGTAAGAGATATTGTAGCTAAAATCCGAGAAAATAAATTTCAAAACTATAAAAGATTTGAATCTGAATAGAATAAATTAACATTTACGGCAAATAATTCCATTTAAAACTATCTGCTCATTTGATCCAAATACTTTTTTTTTTCAGTGTTGTGGAGTTACAAACTTTACAAAATTTCTATTTCTAGTATATATCTGACAAATATTTATTTACATAACAACCACCTCGATTTCTTTTTCATCGTGATGCTTGATTTTCTAAATATTATATTATGTTGTTAAGGGATGATAGCAAATGCAGTTCCTCTCCCCCACACCTTGTAGGTAGGGAGGGGAGTAACTTTGAAATCAAATAGGAATTTCCATTTTTTATTGCAGATTCGATTTCTACTGATAAAAGTACATAGGATTTGCTTGAAACATTTTTTCGAATCATGGTGGATGCCGCTGTAATCGACGAAATTCAATTTTTCTCCTACTGAAAACCTATGTCTACGATTCTGCAATGTGTTTGCAATAAAAAATACCACGTTTTAAGTAAATACTCGAAATTTGTAACCAAAAAAGTTTATTCATTTTGCAAATTTGCAATAATTGGGAAATTGTTACCTATAGAAATGTAAATGACTGGTGTAGGAACTACTTTTAGCGGAACTTGGAACAACGACACAGGCATAGTAGTTTTCTGTTCTCGTCGGGGTGTTGTGTGATTAAAATGACTTGTTTCTTAAAGTTATTTATTTCTTTTTACGTTTGGGTATTTTGTTGCAGTCACAAAGAGCACGAAAAAATGAAATTACACAAACGTTACGTATGTTACATATAAACATAATACATTTTCAGAAAAATTGTTTTTAACAAAAGAAAGGGTATCTTTAAAACAAAATACAAGAAAATACATGCATTTGAAAGCAGCAAGTGCTCCGATAGGTCATAACCGAAGGAAATCACGTTGGATAAGTATCCCGAAAAGGAGCCTGTCCCTCGGTTACAATAATAGCAGTTTCTTGACAAGTCACTTTTCAGTAATTGAAAATTTAAGAAGTAAATTTTGATTAGTTAAAGTGAAAACGTGGTATTTTTTATTGCAAACGTATTGCAGAATCATATGCATAGATTCAGTAGGAGAAATTGAAAAAATTGAATCCGAATCTGCAATAAAAATAATAGTTTCTATTTAAGATTTGAAAGTTACTGTACTCACCCATAAGATGGGGGGAGAACGACTTATTTTTGAACTAATATATTGCCGTGGAGTGATTAAATCTTGATTATGGACATTTTTTTCGTACAGTGCTTATTTCCCTAGATATTTGAAAGTTTAAGGTAAAAAAAAATACCCGGTATATTCACGCTACTTATATTTTTCAAGCGAACTATACAAGGATTTAGAATGTTAAAAGATGACGACGTGGCTTTAGCTGAAGTGTAGATTAATAAACTTTGTTTTTAAAATATAGAACTGTAATAAAATGCAGTACCTACTCAAAATGTCACTGTTCGTAATAAATTATTTCGATATGTTATTTTATAACTGGAAGATTCTTTTGAAACATGTTATGATTTAAAAAAATTAAAATATTTGTTATTCAATTGTTACGATGATATTTGTATAATACAGAAGGTATGGTAATTCTAAAATTTATTCACACTTGTATAAATAATACATGTAACAATCCAATAGAATTACTTGACTAATTCGCGTAAATTTACATAAAGTATATCCCCGGATGGGGTATCGTAAAACCGTATTTTGAAAATTTTGTAACTTCGGTTTGACAACATTGTAGGCATGTGTGATGTACGGGTGGAAAGTTTAGACATAAAACTATTTGATTTAATGGTTGAGGTTCATCGGTGGTAGTGTGTGCATTTGTCAACAAGCAGGTAAGTTTTCGTCATTTTTGCACAATTTTTTACCCTTCATAGTAAGGTTTAGTGTGGCTCACCTAATCGGAATAATTTTATGACATTACAATTACAGTTACATACATATTATGTCATCTTAAATACACAAACAGTTTTGTAGCATCTACACCTAATAGTTTTTTTTGCCCGGTCAAATAAAAATGGGCAAAGTTAACAATACATATGCGGGGGTTTGTAAAAAAATAATAACTGCTATTTAAGTGCACTACTCATCAAATAATCATAAATCAGATATTGTTTCCATGTTCTAGGCATGGGTAGATACAAAAGAGTCGGGGCCCGCAGATATATGATGAAAGTACCTTCCAGCAGCAGCAGAACTGTTGAACGCCAATTCAAAATACCTCGTAGAACTTTATTAAATAAAGTAAGGCATAAATACACCGAAGAGGCATTTGGTGCAAGTACTTATTGTTAGTGCTGAATTTGACAGCCCCATGAGAGAACTGGATCAACGTATGTTGGTAAAAAATTACCTAGATGAAACAGGAGTTTCTTTAGGTTGCTTCAAAGACAATCTACCAGGAACGTGGTGGGTTGTTGTATCTATAACGTATTAATTATCGAGAAAAGACTGTTTTTTATTAAGACTAGATTATTTTGTATTTTTATACCGAATAAAGAGATTTTAACTATAAAAAATATTATTTACGGCATAAAAATTTATCAAACCATTTTAAAAAATATTTTTATGGGCAAAGTTACTCTAAGAGTGTCTAAATTTGCTTAATTTACGAATTTAGTATAGTGAGCAAAGAAATTCAAATCAGTTATTACCCCCACCTATTAAAAAAATATATTGCGCAGATCCGAGAACCAGCGCACTATTGTTAATGCATTTTCTAAATACTCAGTTATATCCGAAAATATTTTTTTCAATGACATGCATGTACTGTTCTGAAGTTATTCTCAAAATTCTGAAACAATGTGGGCAAAGTAACACGGATCTACAGTAGGTACCGCACTCTTGTAATTTTTTTTGTTGATTTTTCGAGAAAAAGTTATTCTTGATAAAAAATTTTGCTTATCTTGGGAAGCCATGGGCAGTAATCACATATGTAATACAACATACAGGGCGACCAAAAAATTTCAAAATGTGAAATTTTCCCTAAGCAAAGCGGCATTAATTTTTGTTTTCGTTAAAAACTGTATTTAACAAAGTTGTTCGAGAACTCAAGAAATGCTTAAATACGGGGTTTAGTCAGACAGGAACATTTGCAAATAAAAAGACGGCGCAATTTTTAACTTTACATATCATATAATTACCATAGATATTTCCTTACCAATGCTAGTATATTTATTTTTATTAACTGCCCACCTAATAATTTTTATTAATAACACTAACCCTGGATCGACGAATTTATGAAATGTTATAGAATCAGTAATGTCGATCGATATGCTTACAAATTTTTAATTAAAAGTATCCAAATGTAACTGCAACTCGTAGAGCAGTTTGCAAGCTAATTATAAACAATCTTAAAAATATTAAAAAAGAGTAGAATTATAACGATGCTATTACTGTTGTAGTTATGGACTCTGTACAAGACAATAAAGATGTCACCCAGGAAAAGGTCAGAAAACATAATGTATCAGATATTAATTAGCAGATCTCATATTCAAAGAATATTAGTGTACAACACAATCTATCCATTCAAACCAGAGTTTAATCATAAATTGTTCGATAGAGATGATGGTCGAGAAATGATTGAAAACAGATTCTTTCATCACAATATTATGTATATTTACTGACGAATCAACATTCACAACTAATGGCATGGTTTCCTCTCAAAGATGTAGATACTGGGCTAAAGATAAACCAAATTTTCGATTGATAACTAATAGTCAAACGAGTAAATGTCTAGTGTGGCATAATGTATCATAAAATAATAATTGGTCCCTATTTTTTGGAAGAAAATCTTAATCAAAATTCGTATTTGGAAATTTTCAATAATTTTGTTTTGGCAGAACTAAATAGCGAATATTTAGTCAATTAAGTTAATAAAATTAATACTTTTTAACGAAAAAAAAAATTAGGCACTGCTTAGGAAAATTTTACATTTTGAATTTTGTTGGACGCCCTATATGTTTTATTAAATATTTGATTATTGACCATGGCTTCCCAAGATAAGCTAAACTTTTTATTAAGAATAACTTTTTCTCGAAAAATAATAAAAAAGTTTACAATAGTGCGGTACTCCATTTTTTTATTATAATTTTGTAAATTTGTATTTTGTTTAATACTGAAACTCGTAAAAAAATTCTCCAAAAATATTTTGAAATATTCCTTATTATTTTTATTTTCTGCAGACTGTCAAAATGGCGCCAAACATTTCTACACCAACTGGAGTTCTCCACGAGTATGACGAGGAGGTGGATACAAAAGACATTCCGCCAGAAGTGGTGGAAACAAGTGATCGCAAACTTGAACTGGTTTGGAAGAATGTCATCATCTTCACCTGTTTTCATATCGTGGCTGTATACGGGCTTTATTTAATGTTTACTTCTGCCAAGATAGCAACATCCATTTTTGGTAAGTTTAACTTACAATTGTGTAATTCTAATTCATACCATGGAATACAATCTTCAGAAAAACAACAAAAAAATTAATATTGTGTTAGCTACCTACATAAACATTTTTCAAATTCAACCCCTTGCAGATCTTTACCGTTTTGCAAAAATATTTGATGCATATGTCAATTTAATCTATATTTGGAACAACAAATCACCTTTCGCCATTTGTTCTAATAGGCCGTTTACCGAAAGTTAGATTACTTATGTCTTTTCCAATATCTCCAATAAAAATACAAGCGAAGTGGCATACCATGTTGAATTCAGTTAAATCGTTTACAAAGTATATTTGATAAATCGGTAGCGGTTATAACGAACGAACTGAACGAAAATATATTGTTCCTGTAATATACTCGTAGGTACCAAGGTATATAAAAATACCGCCAAAAGGTTTCCAATTTCCGCTTTTGCAGATGAGGTACCAATTTGAAACTCTAATAATTCGTAGAAAAAACCTAACAATTGTTTTCAGTTGTATGGTACCTCCCTATCAGAAATATAACTTCTTCGCCATTGAAATTTTTTGCACATTTTTTAGGAGTTTCAGGCGATTTCAAATAAATTGCTCTGTAATTAGTCCAAGCATTATTATAGATAAATGCTTACAGAAATTATTACCTGGACAAAAAAAATATGACCGTATAGAAAATTAAATTTTAAATTGAGTTTCTTGTTCTTTAAACCCGATCCAAAATGGCGAACATGGTTAAAAAAAATCGCAAAGTTGCAAATACCGGTTTTTCAAAAATAACTAAAAAATATAGCACCGATTGAAAAATTTTAAATGAGAAAGTTGTAGGTTTTAAAAAGATCTGTCGACTGATTCTTTGCAAGTATCGTTTGCTTTGTTACTTTTCGAGATATATCGAAAAAACCGTTAAAAATCTTCTCTTTTCTCTTCTTCCATAACTCGTTTACATTTACGTTCCCATATTTGCTATTTACTGCAAGCATTGCCCGCGGCAAGCCAAAAAAGTACATTTTTGAAAAATTTAAAAATATTAATTATTTTTCGAGATATATCGATTTTTCAAAAAAAAAGCCGCTCTCGAAAATTGGCTACATCTTCTCAGCGGATAGCCCTACAGTAACGATTTTCGGTTTATTTTCTTCGTAAAGAGTTATATTATCATGCTGTTAAAAAATGTTGACGATTTTATTAATTTTAAGGATCAAAAAATGACTTTGAATAAGTAGCACTTTTTTGGGTATGTTTTTTTCAAATAACTATTTCAATTTTTATTTTATAAAAATTACTTTTAAATAAAGAAACTGCTGACATTATTTAACGAATTCAGGAAAAAAAAATGTTTTCCTACGACCTTCTGGAGCAGAGATAATTTTTTTATTTAAAAAAAATTTTGATGACGCAATTAACATATTACAGCGATGCGCTTGATGGAGGTTAATATTGAATACTTATATTTTCAAAAAAAATAAAAATTAGTAGAATATGTTTACTTGATTTTTAGTATTAGTAATTCAGTAATAAACTCAAGCGTGCAAGCGCTGAGTGCATCAGCTGGACCGGACGGAGAAGTAGGGGGAAGCGGCGAGCGCTCGCTCTGTAAACTGATGATGTGTAATCTAAATGGCTCGCGCTTGCAAAATCTTTGATATCTCAGCTTCTGAACCACGTACAAAAATTCTTTTGAACTTAATCTGTGGTAGCTAAACAAGAATATTATAGTCACTTTTGCCTGCCTTGAAGCAAAATAGTCCCGTAAATGTTTAGTTTTTATTTAATTTACATTTTTTTTCATTTTCGTCATTTTAATAATTAATAATATTACAGTATTTTTCGTGTAATAACTTATTTTTTTTGCTTCATTAATCATACTGACGTTGTACTTGTTGCTGGCTTTTTAACAATTACTTCATCATTTCAATAATTAATTTAATTTTGTGGTAAAATAAGTTTAAAGAATTTCATTTATTTACAGAAATATTTAATAATTATATAACTATGTATATAATATCTATAAAATTATTACAATGAAAACTAACAAGTATCATATATAGATAAAATTATTTATCGAATTAAATTCTTCTTTTCTTTGTCGGATTGCCTTTTGATTCATTTTCTTGTTCGTCGTCCATATTTTCGCGAAGAAGTATAATAAAAGCGAAAAAAAAAATTAATTAAATAAAAACTAAACATTTACGGGTCTATTTTGCTTCTAAGGCGAAAATGACTATAATATTCGTGTTTAGCTACCACAGATTAAGTACAAAAGAATTTTTTTACGTGGTCCAGAAGTCGAGATATCAAAGATTTTGCAAGCGCGAGCCATTTAGATTGCACGTCATCAGTTTTCAGAGCGAGCAATCCCCCTACTTCTCCGTCCGGTCCAGCTGATGCACTCGGCATACCCAAAAAAAGTGCAACCTCCATCAAGCGCATCGCTGTAAAATGTTAATTGCGTCCTCAAAATTTTTTTTAAATAAAAAAATTATCTCGGCTCCAGAAGGTCGTAGAAAATCATTTTTTTTCTGAATTCGTTAAAAAATTTAAAAGTAATTTTCATAAAATAAAAATTGAAATAGTTATTTGAAAAAAACATACCCAAAAGTGCAACTTTTTCAGTCATTTTTTGATCCTTAAAAGTAATAAAATCGTCAACATTTTTTAACAGCATGATAATATAACTCTTTACGCAGAAAATAAACCGAAAATCGTTACTGTAGGGCTATCCGCTGAGAAGATGTAGCCAATTTTCGAGAGCGCCTTTTTTAGAAAAATCGATATATGTATCTCGAAAAATAATTAATATTTTAAAATTTTTCTAAAATGTACTTTTTTGGCTTGCCGCGGGCTATGCTTGCAGTAAATAGCAAATATGGGAACGTAAATGTAAACGAGTTATAGAAGAAGAGAAAAAAGAAGATTTTTAACGGTTTTTTCGATATATCTCGAAAAGTAACAAAGCAATCGATACTTTCAAAAAATCAGTCGATAGATCTTTTTAAAACCTACAACTTTCTCATTTAAAATTTTTCAATCCGTGCTATATTTTTTTAGTTATTTTAGAAAAACCGTTTTTTACAACTTTGCGATTTTTTTTAACCATGTTCGCCATTTTGGATCGAGTTTAAAGAACAAGAAACTCAATTTAAAATTTAATTTTCTATACGGTCATATTTTTTTTGTTCAGGTAATAATTTCTGCAAATTTAATATTAATCCGTGACAGAATGTTTGGACTAAATGCTTTCAACGAGGAACACACCTAACCGTTTGTGGGTAAAATACAAAAATGTCAATTTATTTCGGACCACCTAAAATTTCCAGGTCTAAACTCAATATTGAGCATTTTGATATTTTTACTCATTTGTGATATTTGAACTAAAACTAAGTATTTTCACTCAAATATAAGTGCCCCTTAAATAAATTCTCGTATATAAATAAACTCGTATTTGGTACACTTGCACCTAAATCGGAGTCAATGTCTTCATTATTGAGTGACCCCACCCCGTTCTATGGTTGTCGTGCGTTGTCTTTGTCTATTCCAATCGTCCCCATTAGGTCATCTCATGGCGTGGTGGTTTAAATGCAGTGGTTAACCAATTCTGTTAATCGAGACCTAAAGTATTGTCTCTGAAACAGATCTGTAGAAACCACTGTGACAGCTTACTAGTTTATTACTTTAATACAATGATATTTAAATTAAAATTTAAAGAAATGATAAACATAGTCTGAGTAAAAAATTACTCAATAATGGTTAAATTTAGGGAAAAACTCACCTCTTAATTGGTTTTACCTACTCAGAATAGAGTCAAAAGTCACTGACTTGATAGTTAGTTAGAAACTCGGATTTGAGTAAAATTCACTCATTTCTGTTGCAAAAGTTTCACTCATAAAATTTTAGTTATACTCATACTAATATTGTGAATATTTGACTCAATCGGGTGTGGATAGAAATTGATAAATTATTGAATAAAATTGTGTGAAATTGGGTGACTTTTTTACATTGTAAAAAGTCGATAATTAAATAAACTTCAAAATTGTTCAAATTGCTACTTCATGTACCAAAGTAAAACTCAATGTTTTTTTTAGTTACTGTCAAAAGCAAAATTAGTTTTAAATGCTTTGTATGTTTAAAATACAGTGTTCTATGACCCGTGTTATATGAACTTTTTTTCTTAAAATGAAGTTCGGTATCATTAGGCCCAGTACTTTGAGTTTCGGTTAAGACTTGATTAACTAATCAGGCGATTAGACTTTGAATATACAGGTTCGGAAAGTCCCCATGGTTCATCGGCCGTTACGTGGGAGCGATAAAGTAAGTCATAGAAATCCGTGCGATAGACAAGGATGGTTACATTGAAGACGTTTCATAATCTGAATAGTTCTAAACCCAAACAGGCGGTGACTATGCAGATTTTGAAACGTCTTCACTATAGCCACCCTTGTCTATCGCACAGATTTCTATGACTTACTTTATCGCACTTACGTAACGGCCGATGAACCATGGGGACTTTCTAACCCTGTATATTATTATAAAATAAATCAGTATATGTACAGTCTAATCATGTGATCAATTAACCAAGGCTTAACCGAGACTCAAATTACCGAGTCTTCATCCTACTAATCGTAATCAATTTAATTGTATTTGAATTTTATTTTTATTGTTAAGAATAAATTTGAAAAATTTCGAAGCAGATGTGTCGTAGATTTTATAAATTTTTAAATATTTGTTTTTTTTTATTTTTAGCTGTTATTATGTACCAACTTGGTGGATTGGGTATTACCGCTGGAGTTCACAGACTCTGGTCTCATCGTGCTTATAAGGCAAATGTTCCTCTAAGAATTATTTTGACTATATTTAACTCAATAGTTTATGAGGTATGTTAAATCACTGATCCGTGATTTATCCCTATATTTCCAAATACATAGGAAGCAAATTATAATTGGTCGTTGTTACAGAATTCTATAATAGAATGGGCCAGGGATCACAGAGTCCACCATAAATTCAGCGAAACCGATGCTGATCCTCACAATGCCAAACGCGGATTCTTTTTCGCTCACGTTGGATGGCTCCTTTGCCGCAAACACCCTGAAATCAAGAACAAAGGAAAGGATATCGACATCTCTGATCTTTATGAAGACTCTATTATTGTTTTCCAAGACCGCTACTATATGATTGTGATGCCGCTTGCATGTTTCATTATCCCAACATTGGCTCCAATGTATTTCTGGAACGAAACATTTGTCAATGCTTTCTGTGTCAATATCTTCAGATATGTTTTTACCTTGAATGCCACCTGGTTAGTCAATTCAGCTGCTCATCTTTATGGACAGAAACCCTATGACAAGTAAGATAATGTAAAACTAATGGATCCATTAAATTATTTTAATTCAATTACAGGTATATCTATCCATCTGAACACGCAACCGTTTCTTTTTTCGCTCTGGGTGAAGGATGGCACAACTTCCATCACACCTTCCCATGGGACTATAAATCTTCCGAGTTGGGAAAATACAACGCAAACTTCTCCACAGCCTTCATTAACTTCTTTGCTAAAATAGGTTGGGCCACTGACCTTAAAACCGTCTCAGATGATATGGTTAAGAAGCGTGTTCTAAGGACAGGAGATGGCAGCCATGGAATTTGGGGATGGGGTGACAAAGATCAGCCCAAAGAAGATTACAATGATGCGCTGATCACTCACAAAGAACATTAAAAAGTAGTAGGAAAATATAGCTTCAATAGACATAGAGTTGATAAATGCTATTTGAGAGACTGAATACACAACCGGACTTATTTTTGCTTAATATTTCGGCTGCAAAAGGAAAAAAGAGTGTCACTCTTTGACAAAATAATTGAAATATATGTTTTTTGAAAAAATAGATTGAGATTATGCGTCTATAAATTTTAATTTTTATTAATAAGCCTGTTATTAAAAGTTTACAACCCTTCAAAAACATATATTTTTATAACCAGTAATATTTAATAGTGTAATTATTTCTATTGAGTTTAGTTTGGAATGGTGGGTTTCAAATTGGTGAAATATTTTTGTATAAAGGTGGCTCGTTTTAAAAATTTCCCCATGTTTAATTACTTTTGTATAGTAGTTATTTAGTTAGTATTCTGTTATAGTTATTTCTTATAACGATTATGGTTACTAAAAAAATATTCTGATAATAAATTGTTTTATTTACAAATGCATAATACATCAATTCCAGTAGGTATATCCAAAGTTTTATAACAACGTGATAATGGGTAAATATATCCATTTAAATTTTATATTTGGCATGTAGGTATAGGTTTGAAATTATGGTGCTAGCATATGTAAGCAGGACTATAAAAGACCACAAAAAAAATGAGTAGAGGGCTCCTTGAACCAGACCAAGTGGGTCGCTGAAACCGAATCCGAAACCTGTTTTGCCCCATCACGTCAGTGTTTTTTTCTAACCTCAAAAAACAGCTTAAAACTATGTTATCCCTTGTTGTTGTTGTTGTAACCCTATACTTTCATAACTCGATAACCTTGAGATCGATAACTTATAACTCTAAAACCCATAACCTGAAAATCTATAATCACAAAACTCATAAATCTCAAATCCCAATACACTGCGAACAGCATTTAATGTTTATTTATAAACATAGATAATTATCTCAAACAACTTATCTAGGAATTAAAAGAAAACGATATGACCAATTATTGATGGAAAAATTGTCCACTTGGGGAAAAATCTAGAAAACACAAAAACACTCGTAAATATCGACGAAGAAAATACCTAATGTATCTATCCAGAACACTATTGCTTCACAACCGACGTCTTTGAAGGCAGCTCCTATATCCACAAACCAGTCTATTCAGCTTTTCAATTTCCAAAGATGTGGAGAGCCCCTCTATTTCCCAAAGCTTACAACACACTAACCGTTAGATCCCCAGGATTTTTGGGCTCAAGTAGCGGCTACACAACCAAGACAAAATGGTATCCAATAAACTTTTAACAAACAAGAGATTCGTATAAGAACCGGTGAAACATCGACCAATAACAAGTTCTTAGGTAGAGATGACCATAATAAAAAAAGTATGGATGTACATATCCCGAGTCTCGGATAGAGTTAATAAAGCGATAGTTAGGAATTACATAAAGAAGAAAGAATCTGAAATAATCAACGATGAAGACCTCTTAGTTAAATACGTTCCTACGAGAACCGAAAAGTCATGCCTAAACTGTAAATGTTCCAAGTTGAAATCCGATTTGAAATGATGGATATGGTGTACAATCAAAATTTTTGGCTACGAAATATTACTTTTGAAATCATCTTAGAAAATACTAATCATTATCAAGATTCCCACAATGATGTTTCTGGGAAATAGTTAATAACCTAGCTAACACCAAACAAAAGGGGCATAGTTAGAGATTTTATTAAGTGAAAATAAACTTTTTACTAATTTGTGATCCAGAGACACACTGAATTCTGTAAGTATGTAATTATAATGTATTAACAAATGTATAACAAAATTTACAATATCTGTAAAGAAATAGAACAGATACACTAGATTTGGATGTTTTTTTTGCAGGAAGGGTGATGTGTTGTTTGTTTCATTTTCTTAAAATTGCTCACAGCTCATAAATATGTTTGTCTTTCTTGGTGTGACCCGGTAAAATAACGGTTTCGACAACATATTTAACAGCACTGATTCTCATAGCTGACGAAATTTTTAAATAATACTTTGTTATCTGATGATTGGAGTGTATACCTTAAAGCAGATATTGACCTAAATGTCGCCCCAAAATATATAACCCTTAGAGAAATTCACGATAAAGATCTTAAAACAATATTTTTATGACGTTAACTTGGTTTCCCTATTCAACTCTAATGCGCATACTGAAGGACAGATTCTCCTACATTTCATCAACATCATATCAAGTAAAATAAACTTAGTGTTTTCAATATGAACTAGATTGATAACCTAGAAAAATTTTTTGTTTTAACGATTTATCTTCGGAAAATGCGCAACCACTTGAAATTTCTATACGAACATTACGTCATAAATCCTTTCCACTGATAATAAAGCTATACCTAAATCAATTTAAATCAAACTATCGTTTCCAAATTAAATCATCCAACAAGCCACAAATGACAAATTTATAAATACCTACTTATTCAAATCCCCGACAAGCTATGTGGCAAATTATAAACCAACACAGAAAAATGCCTAGAAATACAACAATGCAAATTACTTACTATGAATTTAGTGATTATTTTGCTAGCATTGCTACTAATGTAATATCAAAACTCCCTACAGAAATTTTATTGATGATATCAGCCACTACAACAATAAATTTGCATTCATCCTTGTATTATGCCACGAGGCATATGTACTCATAACTCAACTTAAAAACATAACAAGTTACTATCATCTCGATATTTCAGTAAGAATTGGAAAAAGTATTAAAAGCACTAAAATATTTTCCCTTACTAAACTACTTCATCTATGTCTATCTCAGAATATTTCCCTAGTTGCTTCAAAATCTCTAAAGTTATAGCTATCTTTAAAAAAAAATGATACTATCGATCCATCAAATTACAGACCTATATTAATCATTTTTTGCTTTGTAAAAATTTTGAAATAATAATGGAAAACCAACTACTTGTATATTTAGAAAATAGCAATCTCTTCAATCCCAATCAATTTGGGTTCTGGAGGAAATTGTCAGCTACACTGGCAATAGATAAGTTGACTTCATTTATAAATAGTTGTTACGACGAGGGTAAGTAAGCGCGTTCGATGTTTGTCGATCTCATCAAAGCTTTCCATTACATCTGTCACGATATACTTGTTGATGATTTATTTAACTTTATGCTTGTACAGCTGAAAGCACGTCACTTATCTAGTTGTACCCATGTCATAATCAACAATATATAGTGTACAGCACGACAAATCGGAAACTTTATTGAATTGCGGAGTACCTCAAGCTTCTGTTCTGGGACCGTTCTTGCTTTTATTTTATCAACCTTCAACCTCTGTAAGGAACGACGTGTTCACTATCTTCTTGCCGATGATACTAACTTATCCGTAGCTAATAATGTTTTGCATGATCTGACGGTGGATTCCATTAAAGGAAGATGATGCGTTACATTGGGTCACTTCAAATAACTTATGCTTAAAACCATCTGAGACCGAAAAATTTACATTGACTCTGCGTGGATTAGATGATGTAAATAATCCTGATTCTGTAAAATTTTACCTGCCTGCCTCCTGTCTGTTTGCTTTTTGTGTAGGTAACATTCATTTTTGTATAAAAATCGAAAAGTAAAAGATATTACAAGTAGTTTAGAATGAAAATTTATGTTTACGTCACATTTTTAATTTTGCAATATTTTATCTAAAATAAAATATCAAAGTAAGTGTTCTTTTCTAATACTGTTGAGTCATTTTTTATATAACTTTCATTGACTCGCAACACAAATTTTTTCATCAACAACATGGTGAATAAGCAAGACATTCGACTGGACGCGAATATAATTGTACGAACAAACGAACTTCGATCATAATTATATGAAGCTTTTAGTCTAAATGTATTGTCTCCCATCCTTTCTAAGAAAGGCTCGAAATGAAAACGGCGTTGAAGCAGACGTTAACGCAACATAAATTCATTTCATCGTACATTCATATATGTATGTTTCTTTAATGCACACTTTTTAATTTATCTTTAGTTAATATATGTAATGTAAAATAAATTTGAAGACAGAACAGAACAGAATTCCCTATTACAAATATTTCTCATACTTGCAAAAAATAAGCTTTGAGTATTAAGAACTTTATAGTTTTAATTTCTCTTGACAAAATTCTATATACGCCACATATTTATATCATATATGCTGCAGTATCTCATAAATTAAAGTCTATTCCAAAATTTGCTTTAGATAAAATTAGAAAAAATTATCAACCAAAAAGGTTGGAGAGGCCGATAGGTACCACCACCTCTCATTATACTTCAATATTTTATAACCAAAAATGCTGAAAAAGTTGGATAGGATGTTAGAAAACAACGATTATTAAAAACAATATCACTTTTAACACTTTAAACATGACATTAGGAAAATCCCATTATTTTTAAGGAAAATGCGGTCATTGTGTACAGCTGCATTCGTGAATGTCTAAATTCTAAAAAGGCAGAATCATAAGAAGAAACAGACAAACACACAACAATAACAAAACATTGCAACAAATGCCCGACTCGGCAAATGTCACTTGATCACCACAGATATCACGATATTAGAAAATGTTAATAATGTTAATAATACATACTGTATTACTTGTAAACTAACCCTCGCTAACGGCACGCTAAATTATCCTGCATAGTTTCAGCTGTAGAAGCCTTGTGGTAATCCCCTCACACTACGTATTTTTTACACCTAAATCCTAGAGATAGTATTGTAACAAAAGCCGGGACACTAATTATCGAAACTTAAGAGTTTTCAAGTAGGTTTAGCGTCACCACAAGGCCGTCCTTCGTAGAAGGCCTCAAGAAATTTAGCAATATTATTTTTAATAAATTCACTTAGACCGTCGAGACCATGTGTTGAACATCCGGTATAAAGAGAAAATCGATATTTCTGATAACGCGCCAAATGCATTCAAAAGAACGTAGAAATTCCGATATATTTAAATAAGTTGTTAGATTGTGGTGAGGAAAATAATAATAGGTCAAATAGCTGGTTTTTAGGCGGATTTTCCAAGCTATAAAAATATATTAAATGAGATTGACTAATCCGTCCCTTATTGCTATACGGAGTCACAAGAGGAAGGTGTAGGGTTATTTGTAAGTTTAGTCTCAAAATTGTTCATATAATTGTAAGTCCGGTCAATTAGATAACTATTAACATGGCATAGTTATGCCAAAGCGTCCCGATATTCAGGTTTCCCGCCAGTATGATAAGAACAGAAACTTCTGGACCCAAGAAATGGGCGTGTCGAAGCGAAGTGTCGAATTCAGGAGAGATCTCCGAAAAAAAGGCAGTTTTTCCTTGGGTTCCACATCTAGCAGTCTACTTAGATTTAGAGTCTCGGGTTAATTTAATAATAGAAGTCATTCCAAATTTTCCTATGGATCTCGCATTTCCTGAATCTCGGTACACTGTCGCGTATAAATAAATAATTAATAATGTAGTTCGAGTCCGTTGTGTCGCTAGTTTATTTGTTTTATTTTTATTGTTATTAAAACCGTTCCTGGAAAGTGTTGGTGTTTCTTTTTGCTTCTTCCCACTTCAGTGTCACCCTGTACAACCAGTCACTGGATTACATTCTACGTAAGCAATGGATGGTAAGTGCCTGAAATTCATTGTCTGAACATACACGTATTAATTAATGTGTAATGATGATTATAAACTCCCTTTCGAGAAGTTAATAGTAAACTCTTTTGTTAGTTAACACCGTTATGATACTGGTCATAGCGGTAAATAGATAAGTAAAGAAATAACCCCTCAGATTACAATATTATTAATTTTTTTCGGTATTCAAAAATAAAAGCGAAATAAGGCTTAATAAAAATTTATTACAATTATTCATATACATATATGTATAAAAAAGCATGTTTCAAGGCATTTTAATGCTGCCAGTTGTTTAATTCAAATAAATATAACGTGAATTTTTCACTATTTACATTTTTAAATTAAAATGATTAAGAATATTTTTGAGGGTTTAAATAATGATCTGGCTGCAAATTGGCATCTTTTGACAACTCTAATAAGCACTGGGTAATATCCTTCTTCTCTACAACAGATCTTGTCAAGGCTTCCCTGACTGTTTTACTGTCAACGGTTCTCAAATCCGTAGCGAGTTCCAAGGCCGCACAAATTCGAATAAATTTAGTAACTGTGTCGTTGCCGTATTGACCATATTCGCTCGTCTGGTAATCCCAAGGAGCCAAATAGTGATAGGAAAGCCAGTTGCTCTTCGTTAGAATGAATACTAAGTTGGTATCACATGGGTACCTAAAAATATAAAGGGTGTAAGTTAAAAAAAAATTAAGTATACTACAGGGTGTTTTTTAAGTAGAAGTCAGAAACNGCATCTGGTATAAAGAGAAAATCGATATTTCTAATAACGCGCCAAATGCATTCAAAAGAACGTAGAAATTCCGATATATTTAAATAAGTTGTTAGATTGTGGTGAGGAAAATAATAATAGGTCAAATAGCTGGTTTTTAGGCGGATTTTCCAAGCTATAAAAATATATTAAATGAGATTGACTAATCCGTCCCGTATTGCTACACGGAGTCACAAGTGGCAGGTGTAGGGTTATTTGTAAGTTTAGTCTCAAAATTATTTATATAAATGTAAGTCCGGTCAATTAGATAACTATTAACATGGGATAGTTATGCCAAAGCGTCCCGATATTCAGGGTTCCCGCCAGTAAGATAAGAACAGAAACTTCTGGACTTAAGAAATGGGCGTGTCGAAGCGAAGTGTCGAATTCAGGAGAGATCTCCGGAAAAAGGGTAGTTTTTCCTTGGGTTCCACATCTAGCAGTCTACTTAGATTTAGAGTCTCGGGTTAATTTAATAATAGATAAAGTCATTCCAAATTTTGCTATGGATCTCGCATTTCCTTAATCTCGGTACGCTGTCGCGTATAAATAATAATTAATAATGTAGTTCGAGCCCGTTGTGTCGTTAGTTTGTTTGTTTGATTTTTATTGTTATTAAAACCCTTCCTGGAAAGTGTTGGTGTTTCTTTTTGCTTCTTCCAACTTCAGTGTCACCCTGTACAGCCAGTCACTGGATTACATTCTACGTAAGCAATTGATGGTAAGTGCTTGAAATTCATTCTCTGAACATACAACATCTCTAAGTTCCCACGTATTAATTAAAGTGTAATGATGATTATAAACTCCCTTTCGAGAAGTTAATAGTAAAATCTTTTGTCAGTTAACACCGTTATGATACTGGTCATAGCAGTAGATAGATAAGTAAAGAAATAACCCCTCAGGTTACAATATTATTAAATTTTTCCACTATTCAAAAATAAAAGCGAAATAAAGCTTAATAAAAATTTATTACAATTATTCATATACATATATGTATAAAAAAGCATGTTTCAAGGCATTTTAATGCTGCCNCGCCAAATGCATTCAAAAGAACGTAGAAATTCCGATATATTTAAATAAGTTGTTAGATTGTGGTGAGGAAAATAATAATAGGTCAAATAGCTGGTTTTTAGGCCGATTTTCCAAGCTATAAAAATATATTAAATGAGATTGACTAATCCGTCCCTTATTGCTATACGGAGTCACAAGAGGAAGGTGTAGGGTTATTTGTAAGTTTAGTCTCAAAATTGTTCATATAATTGTAAGTCCGGTCAATTAGATAACTATTAACATGGCATAGTTATGCCAAAGCGTCCCGATATTCAGGTTTCCCGCCAGTATGATAAGAACAGAAACTTCTGGACCCAAGAAATGGGCGTGTCGAAGCGAAGTGTCGAATTCAGGAGAGATCTCCGAAAAAAAGGCAGTTTTTCCTTGGGTTCCACATCTAGCAGTCTACTTAGATTTAGAGTCTCGGGTTAATTTAATAATAGAAGTCATTCCAAATTTTCCTATGGATCTCGCATTTCCTGAATCTCGGTACACTGTCGCGTATAAATAAATAATTAATAATGTAGTTCGAGTCCGTTGTGTCGCTAGTTTATTTGTTTTATTTTTATTGTTATTAAAACCGTTCCTGGAAAGTGTTGGTGTTTCTTTTTGCTTCTTCCCACTTCAGTGTCACCCTGTACAACCAGTCACTGGATTACATTCTACGTAAGCAATGGATGGTAAGTGCCTGAAATTCATTGTCTGAACATACACGTATTAATTAATGTGTAATGATGATTATAAACTCCCTTTCGAGAAGTTAATAGTAAACTCTTTTGTTAGTTAACACCGTTATGATACTGGTCATAGCGGTAAATAGATAAGTAAAGAAATAACCCCTCAGATTACAATATTATTAATTTTTTTCGGTATTCAAAAATAAAAGCGAAATAAGGCTTAATAAAAATTTATTACAATTATTCATATACATATATGTATAAAAAAGCATGTTTCAAGGCATTTTAATGCTGCCAGTTGTTTAATTCAAATAAATATAACGTGAATTTTTCACTATTTACATTTTTAAATTAAAATGATTAAGAATATTTTTGAGGGTTTAAATAATGATCTGGCTGCAAATTGGCATCTTTTGACAACTCTAATAAGCACTGGGTAATATCCTTCTTCTCTACAACAGATCTTGTCAAGGCTTCCCTGACTGTTTTACTGTCAACGGTTCTCAAATCCGTAGCGAGTTCCAAGGCCGCACAAATTCGAATAAATTTAGTAACTGTGTCGTTGCCGTATTGACCATATTCACTCGTCTGGTAATCCCAAGGAGCCAAATAGTGATAGGAAAGCCAGTTGCTCTTCGTTAGAATGAATACTAAGTTGGTATCACATGGGTACCTAAAAATATAAAGGGTGTAAGTTAAAAAAAAATTAAGTATACTACAGGGTGTTTTTTAAGTAGAAGTCAGAAACCAGGGGCGTATTCTATGGCCAAAAATAAGCGTTTTTTGTTATACATGTTTGGTCTTTGGACAGCCTTTGATCATCTACAGCGTGGAAAAAATTAAAAAAAAAGTCAGTACCATATTGGCCATTTCATCACTTGAATATACATAAGCCATTATTAAAATTTAATCTTTTTAAAAAATAAGCTCAATTTGTCAACACACAATATTAAGTAAGGCGACGGCTTCTTATTGTTATTGTTTTGCATGGCCTTCCTGATATGTTTAAGTAATTTAAGAAACTGTAAAAATTCACTTTATCAAATAAATTAGTTTTGTTGTTAATCGGTTTGGAATACAAAAAAGTGTAAAGAAACAAAAAGTGTAGATAATACAAAGGCGCATCTGATGATCTATTTTATTTATAATATTATACAGGGTGGTATATTTTTTTGGCAAATTATTATCGATAATACCCACACCTCCGCCATTGGTAAGTTTCTAAAGCTGGTAATTTTTTGTTGCATACCTACTGTCATACTAAATATGCACACCGAACTTGGTTAAATTAAAAATTAAAAATAGATTTTTTTTAAATTTTTGACGCGCCGAAGCTGGACAGTGGCTGTCCTAAGACCCCACATTTGTATAACAAAAAATCCTTATTTTTGGCCAAATAATACACTCCTGGATTCTCGACCTCTACTTAAAAAACGCCCTGTATATCCTCCCGCAGGAGCTTCGTTTGTGTTTATGAAAATATGATAACAGAGATGTGTTTGCATAAAACCTGTTTTATCTTAATCGTAAGCGAAATTTGTGATTAAAAAACTACTGTCTACTGCCGGAACTATAAGGTTGTATGTTAAAAATGCATAGATTTTTGTAAAAAATAATGTAAAAAAAAAGAGAAATAAAGCAAAAAATACTACTACTTATAGAAACCCCAATGGGAAATTTTCAGTAGTGTATTCTTCCACTTAACCAAATCAATAATGAAATCTTAACAGTCAATTTATGAAAATGTTTCAGATGTTTTTTTTTTCTCAGCGGTTTCAAATACTTTTCTTTAAACTTTAACAGCTTGAATCTTGAAATAAAGTTCTTGTTGACCTGGTGAAGTTTATGAATTTTAATCTGAGCTGACCTATACAGTGTCCCTTATTTAGATTGTCAAACTAGAACAAAACTAACACAATAACTTCAGATGAACCAACAGACAATTTCAACTCCAACAAAATATAACAGCTTGAAGATGACCTATTCACAGTGTTTTCTTTTTTAAATATCTTCTAATCTGGTTGAAGTATCAGAATTAAATTTGCCATATTTCATTTCCTCTGTCAATTTCGATCAAGACCTTGTAGAAGTTTAACAGCGAAATTAAGGGATGCAATAGATACAATACATACAATAGATAGAGATACAATATTTAAAAAAGTTAATGTCCTACTGGTCTGTTATTTTGTAAAAATCATTCCATTTTTAAATACATTAAATGAGAAATAATACCTCAGGGCGTTACGAATATGTATAAAACGCTGTAGCGCCAAATTCAAAATAGCACGGAAATAATTCAGGTTAATAATAGGACTTACGTGTAACATTTAAATAATAGACTTGTAGGATATTAAATGTTGCGTGTACCACGGGTGTTGTAGGATAATAATGACCTTGAGCGCCTTGTTATGCATATGACACCCAAGGTGCCCTAACTACTGTATGATCTATTTTGGGCTAAAGCCAGTTGTAACTTACTTTTCTCCAGGTTGCAGTCCCCAAATCTTCGTGGCACTGTGAATCAGCCAGGCAAGTTGCAATCCGAAGGCATATCTGAACCAGCCAACCAAAAATAGAGACGCATAGAGGGATTCACCCCAGTATTCGGCCGGTGCGTTTATGGGAAGAAGTAATACGAAAATTAAGTACAAAAGTGGATACCACCTACAAATATGGAAAAAAAATAAGAAAGTTTCTTTTTCGTAAGTATACTGAAAAAAACATGAAGCTGAATAGTAATCTAAAGAACACTACTTTTTGAAAAACCAGTATTCTTAAATAGAAATGTTTTGATACGTCTTCTCAAATAAATAAATTCACATTCTACAATAATTAGTATTTTCTTTTTTTCATTTAACCATATGAAAGACAATTATGTATAGGTATAAGAAAAAAAAAAGTTGATCTCGCATCTCACAAATAGTGAAAGGTACAAAACATCTTACTTAGCAATTGTAACTGTAATGCTTACAAACCGAATTTCTTTAAATTAACTTCATAAAGAAATGACTTGCAGAGTAAAATACAAAATCATCCTTTACAATTTATTTGTCAATAATTAGTTGAAATATTTTATTTATGATTTTAAAGTTTAATCAAAATAGTGCTGATCTTTAAAATAATTTAAGCCACTATATATTTAAAATTTTATAACGTCCCTATTCCCGTTAAATAATTTTAATCCAACATAAAACAATTACACAGGCGCAAAAAAAAATAATTTTCTTAATAACAGAGTATTTTAACCAGCTGAAGACGTTAAAGCCATTAGGAATGCTCCATCACGTCAGGATTTTTCCTAGCCTCAAAAAATAGCTCAAAATCAGTGGAAATCTCGATTTCTTATTAAAATAGTTAAGATTTTGAAACTAAAGTACACAAACGTATTAATAGGGTCAAAATAAAAACTTTTTCTTCCTGCACATTTTTCTCTAAAATGCCTCCTTGTGGAGATACAGTATGTGTACTGTAATTTTAAAAAATCGAAATACCCAGATTTCCGTTTGCTGTTTCTTTTCTATAGTTAGGTTTAGAGTTCACGATATATTGCTGTGGGTACACATGTTCGCAAGTGACCCATTTTAAGTATTACGTCAAGAGCGCCAGCCTGACGACGGACGCCCTGACCAGTCTAACAGTTGCAAGGAAAAAACAGACGCGGGACGCACCAGGGTTCCAGGAAAAGGTCCACGACAGATTGGCGCCAAGGACCAGATACCATGACGAGTCTCCAGCGAACACTCGCCCCGACAACACTTCTTTTTCACTAACTTTGTTTTCTATAAAAATACTTTTATTTTTACCGTTGAGAGTTTCATTTTTGTTGCACACCGAAAGCAACCCTCATTCCTATTTATTACTTTACTATTTGTTGCATCAGGTTCTATTACTTATAAATTTTACAGTATTTGCCATTTTTGCAGCTTTTTCTACGTTGTTAATTGCAATTAGAAACTATTAGTAATGCCAAATATGTAAAAATGTTGATGATTTTGGAGGAAATTGATTTACTTAGAGTGAAAGTGGAAAAAATACCGAAAACTATAAGTAATAAGAACGAATTTCTGAATGATAAAAAAAAATCAAAACAATGAACAGAACTAGAGATTCATTAATATATTGCACAAATATTTATATATGGATGAACTAGATATTTATAAGGGAGAAGAATGGAGAATCTTCATCATAGATTCCTCGAAACGAATTTTAAAAGTCCTTCTCCATACTATGAAGAAGTTCGCTTTTATTTCTACAGCACATTGAGTAACGCTAAAATAGGGGTATGATAATATTGACAGGTGTTAATTGGATCAAAATAAAAACTTTTGGCTCTGTTTGTTTAATTTTAAAATCTTAACAATTTTAACAAAAAATCGAAATTCCCATTGATTTCGAGCTACATTTTGTGATTATGGCAAAATACTGACGTGATGGAGCATTTCTAATGGCTCCATCATTTCCATCGGGTCACAAGAACAGTGAATATTACTTACTTTTTCTGAAACATAACCATCTTCTCAGCCTCAATGTCTGTCATATCAATCTCTTCTAAGGCTTTCTCTTGTGCAGGACTTAATCTTAGAGCTACACTGTGTACGTGAGCATAAAACCACCCCCTGTTCGGGTTAAACGGATCCAAATCGGTTCCAAAATGTTTGTGGTGTAATCTATGCCAACGAACCCAATCGTATATGGTACCCTAGGGACAATTATGTTTTACATATACAGCGTGTTTCATTTAAAGTCGGAACACTTCCGCATTTAGGATAGCGTTGGCGAATTTCCAAAATTCTTTTTTTATGTGATAGTACTCACAAAGTATACTACCTTTTATATTATATTTTCTGATATGTGATCTTTTCTACGGCCTACTATCAGCAAGAAAAGACTCAAAAATTAAAAAGTATTAGGCATTTTTTTAAGAAAGAAATGGATGGTATTTTCGATTTGACCACTCCTCAAAAATCTGAATACAAGGTTTATTATTATAGCTTTTACAGGGTGTTCACAAAATAGGTGCAAACTTCGAAAAATTTCAATTAAAAATGTTTTAATGTCCGTTTCTATCAAAGTAGGCCTATTCATACACAAATTGAAACATAAAACATAAAACACACCACAGAAATAGTAATATAATCAATTCTAATTAACTTCCCTTAATAATATATTTCTGTATTATTAAAAGCAAAGGCAGTTTATTCTTGGACGATTTTTATATATACAGATTTTCTGATCACCCTGTACATGCACGATAACAGTTCTCTATGCAACCGCATTTTAAAGACTAGCTAAAGTTTTAATCAAGAATGACTTTTTTTCGTAAAATGTAAAATAAAAATATTTTCCCTCGTTTCCACTCTAACCGTAAACATACTGTTTATGTAAAACGTTAGCACCTAAATACTTACAGTTCCAGACATGGTCTGACATAATAACAAAAATAATCGCAGTGCTCCAGTGGCAGTATAAGATCTGTGTGCCCATAACCGGTGAGCTCCAGCTGCTACTCCCATGTGTCCCAAAAATGTTAGGAAAATGGCTGGAAAACATAAAATACCATTAATATATGTGTCTTATTAATATATTATGAGACTGTATTTATCTTTGTCTCAAATACCCATAAAAGTTTAACACGTAATCTTTTCAAATTTTTATCAAAAAGAATCAAGTGAACCGAAGCGAAAATATTTTGAAAATGGTGACATATTACAAAATTTTGTTTTTATATAATTTGTATAATTTACATGTACATACAAGTATGCAATATGCAATATTGTCAGCTCTGAGTTACAAACTGTAAGGCAATTATCTGATGAACGTAATTTAAAATTAAATTCTAACAAATCAAAAAATTTTTTTTTTTTGGTACTAAGAAAAAGGTACAAATATTAAGACACAATTTTAATATTATAATTGATGGCATTCCAATTCCTATTACTGACAGTGTAAAAAATCTGGGAGTGACTCATGACAGTAACTTACGATTCAATCAGCATGTGAAAACATTACTCCAAAAATCTTATTCTTCGCTTACACTAATTTATAGTAGTCGTCATATTCCGAATAAAAGACTTAAAATTATGTTATGTGAGTAATTTGTTCTGTACTATTTTAATTACTGTGATTATGTCTATGGTCCATGCCATAGTATACAAGAAAAAAATAGAATTCAAAAAGGTCCAAATTCATGTTGTTGACTTGTACATGGATTAAAAAAAATTGATCATTTTTCACAAAATTGTAGAAATCAAGTAACTCAACATGGAGAATCGTCGACGTCACCATCTTGGCAATCTTGTGCATAAAATTTTAACCATTCCTTCTTATCATTCATTAAAAACTAAATTTGTTAAACGTTCTAATGTTCATTCGAGGAATATCCGATTTAAAAATACTTTTACAATGCCAGATCATCGTAGTGCCATATTTAAAAGATGTTTTACTTATAATTCTATCACTTTATACAATTCTCTTCCTGATTATTTTAAAATTTTTAATATTAACAAATTCAAGTATAATTTTAAATCACATCTATTGAGTGGACAGCTGATTTTATAGTTTATATTCGTGGATTTTTATTTTAAACTGTTGATGATTGTTCATATTTGTAATATTAATCAAATTACTAACGAGAAAAAAAAAAAGAATTGTTTGGAAAAATGTCAACTGTAAAACATCAAATTTGTATTTTTACGCTTTAAGCGTGATTTATGTTTTTTAAATAAAGAATATTAACAGATAATTGGTGGAAAGTATTTAGTTATTTCCACGAAACTATTGGTAGCAGAGCATTAAGTAGTGGAAAGGTATTTGGTTATCTCCACGAAAACAATTATTTTTATCTTAGGTAATTGTATTTTATTTTAATTGTGTTATTGTTTCTTTTCTGAGCGATTGTCTGCTGTTATTTATGTTTTTTGAAATTACATGCGGGTTGAATGTGAATAGCTTTTGCTAGACTTCGCCATGGGTTTGAATTTTTACCTTTATTTTTTTCTATTCCTTTATTTTTTATTATTATTTATTGTATTGCATAAGCATGTATACTTATTTTAGACATGCGTATTCAACATGGAGTCTCTCTCACTTAAGAACGCATATAACTTTATAACTTTTTAGTTTCTGTAATCAATTTTGCTCATGTATTACTTAAAAGATGATGACCCCACTTTTTGAGAGAAAAATTATATCGGACAAAAACTAAAAAGTTTTAGAGGTGCCAACATTTTATGTAAAGAGGTTCATTCAAGAACTAATTATTGTGTTAATAATTGACAAAATTATATACCCAATTTAATAATATGTAGGTATGTAAATAATCAAAACAGCCGAAGTAGCAAAACGAGACAAATAAGAAAAATTTGCTTAAAAATTTAATAACGGAAAAGCAGATATATTCAATGGTTCCATGGCATTGGCAATCTTGACCTTATCTATTGCGGAGGTTTAGCAAATAAAAATAAAAAATTGTGCACACTATCAAATAAAATATCTGCATATGTGCCATGTAATTAGAAAAGGGCAGAGGCAGATATAGGTATAGTGTACCAGTAAAAAATATACCGTTTCCAAAAGTTTGAGTTATATCTTCAAAATGCAGCAGTTAATATATTTTATACATTTCTTCGAAATCGCAAGATTTCCCAAAATTTTGATCTTACCATTTTTTCCTAGTAGGAAAGGTGAAAATGATAGGGAAATAGAATATTATGTGAATCTACCTTTAACCCGATTTGTAACCAAAGCCAATCGATGGTGTCAACAGTCAGTGACTCCAATAATGTTTATTCGTATTATTGTGGTAAGGCAGTAGGTATTAAAAAAATTATTTGCAAAACATATTTTTGTCAATCTTCAATACTTTTGAAATATCTTTTCAAGTTTGTAAACATCCTGTATATTATGCAAAAGCCCCTCAATTAAATTGACAGTAGATATTATTGTTCGTAATGGTAACATATTTACTTATCATCCATGCGTTTGTTTTTTAATTACCCGCTCTTCATACTATCGCAGTAGCATTTCTCCTTGAATTGTTAAGTAAACTTCGTCAAGCAAATTATTGACGTATTTCAATTAGTATGCTTAAGCATTATTTTTTTACTATGCATATAGAGTGAACCAACAACCTGTGAACAGTCTCTAACTCATACAAAAATTGTGCTTATACCAAAATAATTTCCTAAACGTTACTTAGCATCTTTCAGAAATGTGCGATATCAAATATTTAAAAAATAGACAACATTTTTGTAGTAGTAATATGAATTTTTGCAAATTTTTATGCTATGTCGATTACTGTCATTATTTGTAACGTTGTAAGAAAAATATTATTGCGAACAAAGACTTGCATCCGGCTGACCTGTGAAATAGCAATTCACTTTGATTTCCAGTAATTTTACAAGTATTAACTGATTGTCGAAATAATAAATGAGGTTATCATGAACTATGTTCCAGTTAACATCAGCTTTATCCCAACAATCAGAATTTAAAACATTAAATAAAATGCAAGTGAAACAAAAATATTGTCAAATAAAATGGGAAATCGGAATACCAAAGAAGAAACTTTAGTAGATTAAAATAATGCAAGTACAAGTATGTATATAAATTTATTCAGCAATTATTATATCTGGGACAATGCTACTGATGTCCTTGTGATCTGCGACCTCGGAACATTTTTCTGTGCAAAAATGTGCAGAAAGCGAATTATGTAGCGTGCCATCAAAGATAAAAAGATGCAAGTAGCAAATACTGTTAAAAATGTTCAGAAAACAAATTTAAGAAAAAAATTAAAGTTTAAGCGAAAATATACAAACGTTTTAGTGAGAAACATTTTTCTACTTACAAATAAAATTCAATATTTGTAAATAAACAAAGAAGAATCAAGTGAAGTGATAGAGTTGGTGAAGACTTCATCCATGCAGACTCCAAGAAGACTTCCTTCAACAAAGCCTAAAGAGGACTTTCTTGAACTTGGGTTACAATTAGTAAATTACTGTAACTACTGAATTAATAATTTGTTAAACTTATTAAAATAAAGACTTTTTCTTAAAGGATTTTAGTTTAAGTAATAAACCATTTGATAAATCCTCTACTTTAAGTAGGTAAAACAAATTTAGAAATTATATCTGAAGCAAAATGCAAAACTTTGAAATAGCTTCACACAATATACCAGAATTTTCTCTAAAAAAGTTATCGATTTTATTGACGCCAAATGTTATGATGGTTCATTGAAAGACATGGTAAATAAAAAGTAAACAATTTTTAACTTTTAAAAGTTAAAAATGTTCTTATTTATGACCTTGAAAATTTTGACCAACTGAAGAAAACTGTCACAGATCGTTTTAAACTAAACAATACTCTTGCATCAGTTCTTTCAAAGTTAAGTATTGATCAAGCAAGGCTCAAAACCAGTTTCTGTTTACGCATCTGAAATGGAAGCTCATTACTTATCTAAATAAAACACGCTGATGCCTGTTAAACAATATTAAAATTAAATGAGCAGGAGGCGTTAATTCTTTTTAGATTTTTAAATTGTATAAACAAAGATATTAGAGCGGTTATGTTTGCATCAAGAATAAAAACATTTAATGGAGCAGTTGAAATAATACTGGAAGCTGAAGTTTCTCGATCAATCAGTTCTCCTTAAAATTCACAAAACGTTTATCATATTCGAGGAAATAATATTTTTCCAGCAATCGTTGAAGTAAAAACAATATACGAGATACTCAGAGTAGACCAATGTTTTCCAATAACAAAAAATTATGTAAAGTAAACTAAAAATATAGTAGTAGTAAATAAATTACATAAAAACATAAACACAGTTAAACAGTTTGTTAACTCATATAATGCATCCTTACTAGTCGTTATTTCCTTGTCGAATATTGATGATATTTTAGAACAATTAAGCAAATCTAAATTTTTTCTACAATATTGGGGAATAAGTAATGTCCGTTTTTTTTCAAATTTAAGATATTTTATTTTATCTCTACAATTATCAATGGGCTTATCAATTAAGTATTCTTCATCGGTATCTATGACCTCTTCCAAACGTTCAACGAGTTTTTTTATTCCTTTTCTGTAGAAATCCTCAGGTTTTGACTTAAAAACTCATCCAATCAAGCTTTTAACTCATTGTCGTTGTTAAAAGAAACACCGCGTAAGGAGTTTGACAAAGACCAGAAAAGATGAAAATCAGAAGGTGCGAGATAGGGAGAGTAAGGCGGGTGGGGCAGCACTTCCCAATTCAACTCCCGAATGGCCCTTTTGGTTATACTGGCGATATAGTCCAGGCAAGTTAGACCACAATCACCCAGAATACGGAATTTTTTTTTCTGATGAACCGATCGAGTTGCGGCTTTCGGCATTGTCTTCGGGAAAATATCAGGAAAAAAGTCTATATATTACACTTTGGGGCTGGATCGAAACTGCATTGCGGGTGCATAAAGTGCATCTTGGAGTGCATCAATTTTTCCGAATTTTCTAAAAATGGTAAAAATTTACTAAAAGTTGTAGAAATTTGTGTGCACGGGTTTTCGGGGT